CGAAAAGTGATACACATATCGAGTCATTTTTAGCACTGATAATAGATGATCCACCTACCAAGTCATCTTTAGCATCAATGATAGATGATCCACCTACGGATCATTAAGTCAATCCATCATTCATTGACAAACCAATTATTGGGTGGTCAACAAATGATATTTTTAATAAAGAAGGGAGGATAACAAGGTAGATAACTAGAGGCAAACAAAGGTTTACCAATGCCTACAATTCCAGACAAGCAAATGTAGATTACTACGTTAGGAGATAAGTATAAGATATACCTTTTACCATTAATTTTTTTATTTTTATTTATTTTTTAAACAATTCATGTAGTTTAATTAATCTTACTTTCAAATGGATATCAGTAGTTATTTTGAGCAATCATTGATTCATTCAACAATTTCAAGCATAATTAAAAGGAGTTTTAATGGTTCTTGGCCAATATGGGGTAAAGTTCTTACGTCAGTGAAAAATTTTATGTTTGATAAATTTAAGGTAGTAATTGGACACTTATTTTTGTATATATTTATTTTATTTGAATGAAAAGTTCATATTCATGTCAATGATTTATTGTATTCTTATTTATTATGTTAGAAAAAATGACAACGGGCTAAGTCAGATGATGCTCTATTTCAATCCACATGGAACAATATTTCTAAGAATTACTTGAAAGACTTATTGTCAGACGAGAGAGAATTAGCAATGGAAGAACATAGAGTTGATAACTTCATACACTACAGATGGATGAAACGAAGGTGGATTATTGTTCCGATTTGGGATGCTTTTATTAAGAATGTATGAAGCACTCCAAAATGGTAAATCATACCCACCAAAGTAAAAGCAAATCATCAAACATAAAAACAAAAAGTATTGCGAAGCACACTGGTTATATTTCTTGTTCCTAGAAAAAGAATGATCTAATGTTTTTTCCTGAATTATTTTTTCATCACATTTCAATTTTATATAAATTTCATTATTACATATTTCATTGAATATGTATTTAAACGAATGCAGTCAATTGAGATACAAAGACAACTCACATTTCAAGAATGGTTCAATCACACTCACAGATGCTTAAAAGGACGTGGTAATTTTGTTGATAACAAGTCCAAAGTTGTTAGTGTATGTGACTTTGCAATGACTTTGTGAAGGCTTTCAAGTTGCCTTGCTTTATTGAACTACATAATGTATTGTGTGTATTAAGGGGCAATGACTTTGTGAAAGGTGAAAATTATTGCATATTTTGCTTTGTAATTGTTGATGTGTATTGTGCTTGTTGATGAACTAATTTTATAGTAATTCAAAGCATGAAATTTGTAAAAAATTCTTTATTAAACTAGATTTTGTATTGTGCTTATTACATCGTAATGACTCTATGACATGTGAAAATTGTTGCGATTTTTCTTATTATTTCTTACTATGTGTTATGGTTGTTGATGAACTACTTTTATTGTAATTCAAAGCCTAAAATTTGTAAGAAATTCTTTATAGAACTAGATAGTGCATTGTGTGTATTGCATGTATTTAGATGCAATGACTTTGTGAAAGGTAAAAATTATTGTGTATTTTGCTTTATGATTCTTGTTGTTTATTATACTTATTGATGAACTAATTTTATAGTAATTCAAAGCCTAAATTTTGTAGGAAATTCTTTATTGAACTAGGAAATGTTTTATGCGTATTGAGATGTAACTTGTGAAAGGTAAAAACTATTGTGTTTTCAATCATGACTAGTTTTTTTTTTTCCTTTTTTAAGTAAATGTTGATGTTATGAATTATTTCAAGTTGTCTTACTTTATTGAACTAGATAGCTTATGCTATAGAGGTAAAATGGAATGATAACTAGTTTAAACTTTTTATAGTAAAACTATGCTGCTATATTATCTCAGAAATATGGTGAAAACTTTTATAATCATTCATATTTCAATCCATAGGCATAGACTGAAGCTATCGGAGGGGTTGAAGCTATGCATATTCATGCATATGGTTTTGGATATACAAACATATCTAAGGGGCCACTTACTCTAATTAGTGTAATGTTACACCAACATCCAACTCAGTTTATGGTCTATCATTTATATGCTTTCAACCTTAGTTACAACAACAAATGGACGAGTTAAGGACTGAACTGAATGCTGAGTTTAAGTCTTTAATGGATCAAATGATGCAATTGATGAGGTCTAGATAATTTCCTTTAACATAATTAGAAGTACCTTCTATACCTATGGTGACAATGCAGATTCTAGATTAGAAGATGCAAGGCAATGACATGTTTTTAAAGAATTGTATTACAATGATTTGGGTTGTTTTCAAATATTATATTTAATGAATTTCAACTTTATAATTTGAATTGTTTTAGAATTTTGTGTATTTGAATTTTATTATGTGAATTTAATTTTATAATATATAGATTTTATCTTTATGCTTTTAATGAATAATAAACAAATAACTGACTTTTAAAAGAATCACACATGTTTTATTTTTAATTTAAAGATTTCTTAAATAATTATTGATGGAATTAATAAAATCACCTATGAAATTTAGATTTTACTGATGAAATTCTCATTTTTACCTATAAAAATCTATCTTTACTGATGGATCACTAATCAATTATCGATGAATTATCTACAAATTACCTACGAATTACTTATAAAATTATCAATGAATTTTTGACGGATTATTGATAAAATTTTATTCTTTTCAATTAAATTTTATGATTTTATTTAAAAATATCTACTGATAGAATAATTATATTACCAATAAAAAAATGCATTAATAATTACTAATAAAATTTTAAAATTATCAATAAAATATTATTTTCAACTCGCTTATGATCAATAAAAATTTTTATCGATAAATTCTATTAATAAATATTTTATCGATGAAAATTCATCTTATATCAATGAATTTTTCATCAATTTCACTCTCCTCTCAAGGACAAATCAAAATATCTACTTTATAATATATATATATATATGTATGTATATATATTTACAATAAATGCTGTTTATTGCATGCAGCCAGCAAAGACTTTCAAAGAACGGACTTGTTTTGCCTTTTGCAACGCAAGAGCGGCGTGATTTTGACTTTCTTTCCCCAAACCTGCTGTCTTGTTTCGCCTTTCCATAATTTAGTACTACTACTACTTAATGATTTTCAATGCATTTAATTAAAGACATATGCTTAATTCCTCTAACAATAACCTTAATTAATGCATGTTAAACTACTCCTTAACCAAACCCTTAAAGCTACTTTTCAAGGATTTTTTTTTTCTGTTTTTAAAGAAAAAAATGGGGTAATGAAACTTCTCAAAGAGTTTCAAACCAGCACTGAGAACTTAATTACGAGGAGGACCAGCTTATTAATATGCGACATGATGTGATGAGGCAGAGGCGGTGGCGATGCATGTTTTCATAGAGGCGAAAGGCCCATGCATATAGCCTTAATTCAATTCTGGATATATATATATATATATATATATATATATAGGACCGTAACCCTAAGTATTGCAACATTATGGGGACTGTATATGCACCTCGGCTTATGCATTCGTTGGTGTACTTTTTGGCAGGGATAAGGATGGACCAATCCATAACAGTTTGACTTTTGAAGCGTGCGTTTGATCCTCATCCTTCAATTTTATGTCAATTGTTGTCATTTTCATTTTGACTAAATTACATTTCATCTATCTCACATGCTAATACAGTATCTAGATCTTAATTTGCACTTTTGCATGTTCCCCAACAGCCCTGCCGATCGAGCCCAACCCAAACCCACTTACAATTTTGGACCAACCCTAGTACCAAATAGATATAAACCAATACACTGCAATTTGGCTCAATGTAATGATATTCCGTCGACAAAAGTACTTGAATAATTCATGCTTACCAATATTAATCTCCTTAATCTTTGACTACGTATAAAATATAATCAATAAATCCATCTCTTCTAACTCAAGTTATTCTACTTGTCTTTTAGTTCTAGTGATCAATAAAACAATGCTTTCTCTTATTTTATATCACCATATCCCAAGATATATGTATATATAGGATATACTTAATTGATAAAATTAATTAATATTAGCGTCGCAATAAAGATACCCAAGTTGTAAATATAGAAAAGCTTAATCATTAGCAACCAATTAATTGTATCTATATAAGTTAAGATCCAAAACCTACAAATTTTATGACCCTTGTTATCATATATAGATATATGCACCATATTATATATCCTCCGTCAATACCCTTTTATATGTCAAGTATTCTATTCCTCGTCATTACCCTATTATACGTTGTTGTTGAAACAAACTCTTTAATTACATCCCTTGTTTGGAAATAATTGTTATCCTATATCCTAATTCTATTCTAGTTTATAAAATAGGGTCATAAACTAATGACGTTTGCATCATATTTTTCCTTTAACAAGACTATCAAGAGCATTTTAGAAAAGCTTGAATTCTCCTCCTAGCTCTTTTTTTTTTTTGACAAAAAATTCTTTTTTATAAAATAAAGAAATTAAACGTGTATATACTAGCTAGTAATTATAGGCTATATATATAAATATATTCTATATTTTGATAGTATAGGTTATATATATGAAACAGCTAGCCCTTGAAGTTAGCCATGTAAAGAGAATGAAACCTTAGGCAACAAGGTACTCGAAATTATTGGACATGAGCATGGTGCCCAAACACGCAATTCAATGATGCTCGTTGATGTCATACACGGAAAGATCACGAGTAACCACCCACGCAGTGCATATAGCATAGCTGGCATCCATTCATATATATAATTATAATTAAACAAAAACCTAACGCTAAATTCAAGGCAAGCAATTCAAAGCAATCAATGCTAATCATTAATTTTAAATTTCGTATGGGATACTTAGTTTTCCTGATTGATGCATGTATACGCAGTAGTTTGTTCCCTCACGTTTTTTGTCCTTCGCCTTTAATATGTATAGGCCTTGCTTAGCGATCCTTGCTTAAATTAGAGCTGAATTCTGATCTTCCCTCGTGGATAGTTAGACAAGAGATAGAGGGAAGAAACATGGCTTTAAGATGGTTTCTTCATTCAGCATGTCATGTATTGGGTTACCCAAAGGAACCTAATAACTTGCAGTACTGCAACAATATGGCAAGCAAACAAAATGGAGGACATGGCAGCGGAGTCATTCAGAGCTCAAAGGTCTCAAACTGTGACCAGACGTCCCAGACTACTACAGAAATGCATTTCTCATCGGGGTTCCAGATGCCCATCCACTATCCTCGCTACACAAAAGCAGATTATGAGAAGATGGAGGAGTGGAAAGTGGACATGCTTCTGAGAGAATATGGACTAAGTTTCATGGGCAGCCTTGATGAGAAGAGAGCATATGCAATGGGGGCATTCTTGTGGCCTCATCAGTATTGATCGATCTCACTCGTCATGTCTTGATTTGGCACTCGATCGGTGTTTCAGGTTCAGCTCCATCGATATATAATTAATCAAGCTGCAAGATCAGATGCTTGCAGTAATTAATAGCTTTTAGCATTATATCAATATATATTAACATATACATACGTATGTCTCTTGTTATAAGGCAATGGATGGAGCCAAGGTTATTTAATGGAGTGCGTTGTATTTTAAGAATAATAGAGAGTGAAAGAGAGAGAGCATCCGTAGAATTTATGGTACCTCCACATGTTATCCATATATCTATATCTATATCATATATATATATATATATGTATGTATATCAGTTCCGGCATCCTGAGTGTTTTTGTTTTTATTTTTTTGTTATTTTTCTGATGAAACAGTGGATCATCTAGTTGGAGCTGGCGTGTAACAAGACAATCAACTTCCTAATGCTACCTGGGTTCTGTTTTCAGCAAAGTTTTGGTGAAATGAGGCTTTAATTTGTGAGATTCATGATAACCCTGATGATTCCTGATTCAAATAAAAAATTAAAAGCGTTGGGAAGAAAACTTAATTAAAATTAATATTTCATATCAACGGTAAACATCTCATTTCGTTGGGAGCTTGAATTTGAATTCTCAATTTTGAATTTATTGGAATCGTTGGGTTTTTCAAATGTCTATTGAATTTTCAAATTGGCTTTGAATAATTGAGCTTTGAATTGATTTTAAGCCTTGCACATGGTTTTTTGGCATTTAGACTTGGAGCCCATAGTATAATTTTATTTTTTGGTATTATTACCTAAATAAAAATTACATAAAAATTAAATGAAAAAAACAAATAAAAAAGGAAAGGGAATCAAGGAATTTTGATTTGATACCGAGGATTCGATTCTAGAAATTCAGCAATTAAGCTGGTAATATCAATCAAAAGATTAAATTAGGTAATAAATGAGATTGAATATGTTTGAGATCGATTCAATCTTTATTATTAAATAAAAAATCCCTAAAACTTTTGTAAAAAAGACCTATATAAATCATGCTTAAATCCACATTAAAAGACATGAAAAAAATAGGTAAAAATTGCTAAAACGAATTTTAGGTGTCGAGGAATTTTTGGGTTTTTGAGATTTTAATCTTAAAATTTTGATTTTAGAAATTAGTTTTTGGTTTTGGATTCTATTTATGGTTTGAAATTTTTGAGTTGATTTTTAGGAAATCATTTGAATTCTTGGATTGGATAGTTCTTTTTGAATATTTTGGAAAAATCTAAAAATTGGATGAATGTTTGAATTTTCTAGTTGAATTTCCTGGTCAAGATTGAAGTTGTAGTGAAATTTTCAAAAATCAATGATAAAATCTAGTTTTTGACTGCCTTGATTTAAACAGTTAGAAAGAGATGTAAAGAAAAAAAAAAGATTTAGAGAGAGTGGGCATTAGGCGATTTTGAGAAAAAAAAAAAAGAATTTTGGGTTTTATACGAGGAATGGAATGAGGCAATTTTGGGAAAAAACTTTGACTCGCATGACCTGTGTGACTTGCGCAAACTCACATACTAGATTCGACCTGATTGCAGATATTGGTTTTTCTTTTTGTTTCATTTATATTTAATTTTATTTTCCTTCATTTTTTTGGTTTATTTTAGAATTTTTATTCATATTTGTTTTGAATTCCTACAAAAAATAATTTTTTATTTTTATAAGATTTTTTTATGAATTTTAATTTTATTTCATTTCATTCTAAAAAGAAAAATGTTTTCAAAATATATTTATAAGTCCTCTTAAACTATTGTAAGATTTTTCATGGATTTAAATTTTTTATGAATTTTACCAAAGTATTGGAGAATTTCATAACTCAATATTTATAAAATTAAAAAAATAAAACAAATATCTTGTTTTAATTCTACCAAATTATTGAAAGATTTGAATCTTAAATAAAATATCACCAAACTATTGAGAGATCTACATCAAAATAAATCTTACCAAATTATTAAAAAACTTTACTAATTATTTTTTTAAATAAAATATATTAATAAATCTGACGATGAAACCTTTTTAAAGTGAAACACTATTTAACATGAATACACCAAATTATTAAAAAACTTTACTAATTATTTTTTTAAATAAAATATATTAATAAATCTGACGATGAAGCCTTTTTAAAGTGAAACACTATTTAACATGAATACAACTGAAATGAGAAAATTATCTTAAATTGCTACCAAACTATTGGAGTATTTTAAGCAATTTTATAATTAAATATTTGATAAAATTATAAAATATTTCAAGTTGATAATTGATCAAAACGATACCATACTTTAGATGGCACGTTATAACCTTTTTGGTAATTATCAACTTATGAGGAGATAGATAAAGTAAAAATTTAAAAATGTAAAAAAACGAAGATCAATCAATTTTTTAAAGGTATTAAAAAAAATTTTAATCTTTTAATAAAACAACATTGTTAAAAAGTAAGTTCTTCTATAAAAATGATTAGGTGAGAATCGTATACATGTTGAGAAAAGTTACCTCCATAATACTCACAAAATTTATACCAATATTATATGCAACTATTTGTAACTCTAGATAAAAATGGTTTTCTATATGAAATTTAATTATAAATCAGCTTTGTTTTAAAAATAAATTATTTTAAAATATCTTTAAGAGGAATATTATGAAAATCTTTAAATCAAAAAAATATCTTCAAAGTCTCCGACATAAAGATAATTCAAATATAGTCTTTTCATTTAATATTTATCATAATATTTATTCCAAAATAATAAAATAACACTCTTTATAAATGATAATCATTGATAACTCTCCAACATCTAGACAGAGTATCAACAATTATATTTCACAGAATGTTATTTTAATTTTATTTGTTGAAAACTAAAAATTTTTAAGAAAAAAACTTTTTATGCAGTAAAAAAATAAAAAATATAATTAATATTAAACATCAACAAACATATATCTATATATGCAAATGAGCACATTAACCTAAAAATGAAACATATACAAGATGATCAAATGTGAATTTAGAAATTAGATTATTAAATATAAAGAGACCACCTGATCTCTCTAACATTTAGGTAGAGTTTGAGTATGACTTTTTTTATTTAAAATTTTGTCCTATTATTGTTATTATTATTATTATTATTATTATATTTTATATTTTTATATTTGTTATTTTAACAAAACAAATTTATTTTGAGTTGCAGAAATATATGAAAATTCTTAATAAAATAAAATTTTCTAAATAACCAAACATATAGGTAGCATTCGGGAACATATTACTTTATAAAAGGTTTTCATGCTAATTTTTAGAAATTTAAAAGGAGTTTGTGATTTTTGGTAGGTTTGGGTTTAAATCTTAAGAATTTATGAATTTCTCTAAAAATCTCTAACATCTAGGTAAACTTTCGAAGCAAACTCGTTTTTATAATTCTTTTGAAAATTAATTAAAAAATTTTCATAAAAATTTTTTTGCATAAAATTTATTATTATTGTTATTATTATTATTAATAACTAGTGTGCATATAAAATAAAGTGAATCAAAAATAATTTACAAAATAAATTGCATGGAATTAAATTTAACATATAGATTTGAACCACACAAATATCATAATATATAAGATTTAAGCTTAAATAAAACTTAATAACATGAATAAAGAAAAAAAACATATAGTATATAAAATATAAATGTACTATAATATTTGTTAACCTATAAAGCCTAAGCTATAAAAAAACATAATGATGTAACCTTGAAATCATGTCATTTTTAAGCTTTCTTTACCAAGTAGGAAAAAAGTATGAAAGCTTAAGCTTTCTTCTGATGGGAACCCTTTTTTTATTATTATTTAAGCTTAAATTAACTTAAAAAAATGAAAGAGATTAATTTATTAACCTATAAAGCCTAGGCTATGAAACATAAATGATGGAACCTTGAAATCAAGTCTTGTTTTGAGTTTTCTCTTCCCCTTGCATATAGCCTAAAGCAAAATATGGAAGGTGGGGGCCTTGGAATTGTAGGCTAGTTTAAAAGTTTTTCATAAGCCATTATGTAAGAGAGGGAATAAGCATGAAAGCTTTGTGGGCAGTGAAGTTTCAAAGCTCCATGGACAATAAAGCTAGTAGACAACAACTCAGACCAATAAAAATCTAACAAATCTAAATATGGTAAAGCTTTAAACTTTACGGCAATTGTTTTTTTTTTTTTTTTAGCTTTCTTGTTATTTTAAATAGTTTCTCCCTTTGGTTTCCACTCTTCCTAAACTCCAAAAACCAGCCCCCCCCCCTTTTTTTTCTTTTAGCCTCCCTTTTTCTTGTAAAGAAGAAAGCAACTAAAATATTTTTGAAAATTTGAATATAGGCCTTTGGATCAAATCTCTTCAAAAGGCCAAAGTTTTTTTTTTTTTGACGAGAAAACTTTAACCATTGGATTAAGATTCATTATGAGATCTATCGATCCACATTATTCATTGCAAATGTTGAAAATTTATAGCCCCTAAACCAAATGAAAAGACCATTGTACCATTAGTATAAAGTTTTCGATATTTAAGTCATTTTCTCATAAATCATTGTTCTCATGCTCATTTTTTTGGAATTTAAAGCATAAAAAATTATTATTTATTATAAAATTGAGATTTAAAAATTTTCATGAAAATCTTAGTCAAGAAGGCCAAATTATGAAAATACCCTTATGGGGTATTTCGATAATTTTATACCTTTCGGGGTATTGCTATGATTTCAAAAGCTTCAAAAATCATGAAATATTATGAAATTGAGATCTAAAAAGTTTCATGAAGATCTGAGCTCAAGAAGGTCAAAATACATAAATACCCCTAAAAGATATTCTAGTGAGTTCACATCTTTCGTGATACTACTGTGATTTCAAATGTATCAAAAATCATGAAATATTATAAAATTGATATATGAAAAGTTTCATAAAAATCTAAGATTAGAAAGGCCAAATTATGAAATACCCTTAAAGGATATTTTGGTGATGTCACATGTTCTGGGATACGGCTGTGATTTTCAATACATCAAAAATCATAAATATTATGAAATTGAGATATGAAAAGTTTCATGCAAAAAAATGACCTCGGATAAGTCAAATTATGAAAATCCCTTAAGGGTATTTTAGTAATTTTATACTTCCTCAAGTGTAATAAAAATTTTAAATGTTTTAAGAATCATTAATTTTAACTTTAAATCACATTGATCTAATTAGGTTGTGAATTTTGAAAATTGACTCAGATTCTATCCATTTTGATCAAGTTTTGTGTAAGTTTGACTTTGTTCGACTAATTTTAACTTTACTAATAAATTTGATCAAATGTG